AAAAAGTCATATTTAGCTTCTCTCTAGTAAATGGTAAAGCATAATCAGGAGATATAAGATAATTTTGAATCACTGCTTTAAAACGTGAGGTTTATATATTTTRCATGGTTTAAAAGTAAATGATTGAAATTATAAATTACACCAAAAAATCGAGAAGAATATAGAAAATAAAAAGAAGTGTGTCTGCGCAATACACATTTTGATTACCGCAGTCTATTTAACAAACAGACTTTCTTGCGAACGGACCCATTAGACATCTTTAAAAAAAACAGTAAGACTCAATTTAGAGAAAATGCTAACTTTTATAAGTCATGCATGCTTTTATTTTTCGGTTTGAGTCCTTTTCTCGATAGCTTTCTGTCGAATACTTCAGCGGGCATCCGTTTTGAACTGGAAGAATCAGTATATTAGATTATAAAACTCATTAATATTCACAAGGCAAAACACAATAGAAATCATAGCCCATGAAGAGAGTTGTATATTACATACAGATTCTTGTTCATTTGCATAAACCTTAAACTCTAATTTTCTCGGTCAGATTGAATTCTTTTTCAAAGTTTCTTTAAAACCAGAGCTAGTTTACCTCAACGTTTCATAAGTAATATACAATATTCGCRTGCGATCTGTATGAGGTTTAAAACAGCTCGCTTTCAGCTCGCTGTTTTAAATCCTCATACAGATCGCCAGCTCATATTGTATATATTACATAAAGAATACACGACCGGATTGTTCAAAGCTCGATTAGAAAACCTATGGAGTTAACCCTGGATTAATCGGGCTTTGAAAAACCGGCCCAGTACTGTAGTAAGAAAAGTAAAAGTAAGGAATATCCAAAAAGATCGATGTTCAGTGCAGCAATATGTATAGAACTTTATTTCTAAATGATTTGCTTCAACTCGGAATTGCAAATCATGCATTTTTAATATGATTTTCAATCATGATCTTCTTCTGAACCCTTACCAACTTCCTTATGTCTATTGTTCTATTTGTAAATAAGCAGCACAATATGTATTTTACCTGAAAAGTTAAGACGCAGGTCATGGTTACTTATGCACTTCCAAGACTTTTCAAAATACCCGAATACATTCTTGCTTCCTTCCGTGCATTTACATGTACAATGATTTGTTCGTGTAGTCGTTCCACCCATATCTTTACATTTGTCTCTCCAGTTTGAAGTACAGAGAAATGAAGGAATTGTGAATTTATCGCGTGGCTGTCTAGTAATTATAATCTTGTACTCTTCTGATTCTTGGACGCTAAAAATCAAAGCAAGAAGCAAAACTCGGAACGTCTTCATTGTAGCTTGCTTTAGGGTACGAAAACTCAAACTTTTACTTTTATATTTCTTTTAGCTCTGATTAATATTTCAATCGTTAGCTTCCGCATGAAGGTGTAGTAATTTGCATAATAATATAACTCTCTTTCACTTTGACGTCACAGCATGTCTATGGGGGTCAACTTGTAGGAATTTGTTTTAAATAGATATCCTTTCTCAGACTTGAAATTTGAGGTTAGGCTTGCAATTGTAAAGATTTTTCTTTCAAAAATACGCTATACTATGCATTATTATCAAAAATACAGTCAACCCATTAACGTTGTTCCATTGTAAAGACATAAACACAACAACAAAAAAGTAGTTTTCTTAAAACTATTTTTAAAATCACCAGGAAGAATTTTTATTSTAAATTTTAGATAAATAGCCAGTTAAACATTATTGAAATTGTAAAGTTTTGGAAGTGTATGTTGAATATTCTCGCAAAAGAAATTAAAAATACGATGTATGCAAATGACTGATTGACTGTATAAGGCTTTGGTTTCCTTTTACCATCCTTGAGAACGCCTACTGTACTGGGAAGTAAGCACAATTACTTGAAATGTATTGATTTTATCCTACTAATCATAGTGCATTGTTGTCATTCGCTGCCATTCTGTTTTCCTCTCTGGCCATGGTGATCATTTTTGTAGAGTTACAACGATCTAACAATTGTTATCTGTACATGGCACTTAACTACGTCAATGGAAACTTACATGATTAGACTCACGAATAGATACTGAAACCAGAAACATTGTTCTATTCAGACAATAATAACGATAGAATATCAAATCACATTCATTCAGGTTACTAAATATAGTCATCAACCTAACTTGTCAATCGAATTATGCAGACATCTGTTCATGATCATTTTTGATTCATTGTATCGCAGTCAGGGTCGACTAAAAAGATTATTTACAGTTTTTAATAAATTCAAACATATGAAATAATAAAAGCTATATACGGCCAATCCTGAAAAAGTAGCCCATCTAATAAGGTAGTTTCAATGTTTTAATTTCAATGTGACATGCGAAAGAATTCACTTTTTATTCGTGTGAAATGGTATAAAATGTCAATTGTGTTTTAGTCGAAAAATGGCAAGGCATCTTTAAAGTACTATATGGACATTAGACAATGTTTCATGCCGTGAAACTATCTATTTATCAATACACGTGAACACTGAAAATGCCTTTTTAGATCGACAACTTTTTCAAGGATCGGCTGTACAGACTATCTAGATTTGATGCATTGACAATATGCTAATTTCTGTAATCATCTTTATTTTGAATTGATTCACTTCTTATGCAATTGATTTATGCGCAGCTATTCATGTCTGATATATTTTGATGCGGGAAACTTTTAGGCCAAGACTGCGGTTTGGATGACTTTCTCATTTTTAGAGCTGCAACAACTTGTTTATAGTATGTTTCGAACAATAAGTGACTTTTCCATAAAAATTGCGACTACGAAATACGCGTAAAACAAGTTTCCAGGTGAATATTTAGATAAAGGTCCTAAGCCAAAAAAGTCCTTTCATATATTTTAAAAGTAGTGTATAAAGAACGAAAGACTCGGCTCGGATCTTTATCACCAGATAAAACACACTCTTGAGTTCTTTACACTACTTCTAGAACTCCAACATCCAGAAATTGTTGTCATTTTAGAAAAAAAGCTAAAAAATGCGAAACTGTGATTATGCATATTAAACTTCTACTGAGCATGTGCATTTGCCACAATTGAAAGAATTTTGATCCCAAACGTTAGAACGGCTAGTCTAGCTACACTGCATGTCTGCACATTGATTCAAACTGATTTAAAACCTAGCAAAAGTCTATGATGCGACATTAAAACTGAGACCTTTGCTAGTGTTGGGTTGCGATAAAGTGCTGATGACCTTGAACTTCACTTCTTTATATCAGATATA